CACCTGCACCACACCAGGGACTTCCACTCCACCCCGGGGAGGCCTGCACCACACCGGGGATGTCTGCACCAAACCGGGGACTTCCGCTCCACCCCGGGGATGCCTGCACCACACTGGGGACTTCCGCTCCACCCCGGGGATGCCTGCACCACACTGGGGGATCCACTCCACACTGGGGGATCCACTCCACACTGGGGACAGCCACACCACTCTGGGGACATCCGCACCACACTGGGGATGATCCACACAACCTGGGGGCATCCACACCACACCAGGGGATGTCCACACCACCCAGGGGATGTCCGCACCACTTGATGATGGTCCACTCCACACTGGGGGACATCCATGCCACCTGGGGGCATCCACACCACACTGCGGGCGTCAACACCACCTGGGGACGTCTGCACCATGTGGCCGTCTGCACTGTCTGCTGGGGTGGGGGAAGGTGCCCTGCTGCAGCGTCAGGCTGACCTCCAGGGAATAGCTCATTCAGGCTGGGGCGTCCCCGGGTTCCACGTGCTGCAACTCAGTGGTGTTATGACAGCGTTGGAAGGAAGCGTGGCAAGATGGGAACTCTGGCAGCTACTGGGGAGACCAGGGTGGACGCTGGGTGGCTCCTGGTGGGCTTACACGGAGAGAGAGGAGCACGTAGGTGGAGACGCACACGCCCATTCTCTCCCTGTGTGACGGTGTCCTGCATGGCCTCGGGACGCCTACAGCTGGAAAATCCACATGGCCCCTGGGCTTTGGGTCCCCACACAGTGAGCTGACCAGCCTCTGTTCTGTCAAGCGACCAGACTCAGGCCCTTCTGGCCACCTAGGCCTTAAACCGTGCGGCCCAGACCCAGCATTCGGCCTCCAGGTCCCTCCTGCGGCGTAGCTCAGCGTGTGTGCCAGAGTGTCCTGGGGTTGTCACGTGACGTTTCCCATGAACACGGGAGCTGCTGAAGTGACAGGGTGCTCACACGGCGGGACGTGTCCAGAACCGTGTCCACGGTGCGCTGAGTGCGCGTCCAGGGTACCGAGGACAGGGCCATATCTGCACGAAGGGGCTAGGGCTGACCTCTCCACGCACAGGAGCCACGGAGCGCGTCCCAGGGCCACGAGCAGAGGCACGGGAGAGCCAGGCCAGCCAGCAGCTGCCGTGGGTTGCCGGGAACCGCGCACTGGGGCTCACCAGGCGCCGAGGGCTGAGGGCTGGCGTGTCCCTCAGCATGTCGCGTGTCAGGTGCTCCAGCCTGCGTGGCTGAGCTGAGAGGGTGGAGACTCAGTCCGACCCTGGGGTTGAAAGGGAAACTCTGGCTGGGGCTGGACAAGGTCATCGTGGTGGCCCGGCTGACTCCAGACGACAGACACAGATGCCAACTCCAGGCCTGAGCGCCATGGGCTGGTGCGGAGAGCCCCCAGCCAGACACCTCCCAGACGCCGCCCTCGGACCTCGGCTCCAGAAACCTCTGTTCTCTTTTTAACCTGTTTCTGTGGAAGTGGAAGGGACAGAGACACAGACAGACCGACGCACTCAACGAGGTCTTCACACTGCCATTCACCTCTACTCAGCAGTGGCTCAGGCCACAGGCACACGCATGCCCCAGGCGTGCTCAGGGTGGCCCAGGAATGTGGACCGAGGACTCGGGCGTGCCAGGGCGGCCTAGGGACCTGAACCCTGTCCCACGGGTCTGGTTTATCACCAATCCATCACCTGGCCCCTCTCTCCTCGTAAATTGCCCAGGCTCTGGTGTCTCTGGTATTAGAAGACCATGGACCAACCGGACGGTGTCCCCTAAGAGGACTTGCCGAAGCCCGGCCTCCAGGAGGTGCCTGAGACAGGCCTCGGGATGGGGCCTTCACAGAGGGCATCGGCGCTCCATCTAGATGCATCACGCGGAGTGGCCGCCCCCATGACAGGCGTCCCCACCAGAAGAGGGGAGAGAGAGGACGAGGACCAGGTGGCGACAGGAGAGGCTGCAGTGGGCCACGGGCAGCACGAACGGCGGCCACTGCAGAAGGACACCTCTGCGGGAGCCTCTGGCCTCCAGGCCTGCGAGAGGACACCTGTGCTGTTCAAAACCGCCCCATTTGTGAAGACTGGTTGTGGCGACCGCAGAAACGACCGTCCCTGTAGCATGTTACCTTTCAATAAGAAAAGCCACTTTGTTCCACCGGGGGGCTGGGTCTGAGGCCGAGTCTACGCTGCCACCGTGAGGTGGACACGTAGGATGGGCACGTCCCCGCGACACACTGCCTCCAACAGGGTAGGCCCCCACGTCACGCCCAGGGTAGGCCCCCACGTCACGCCCATCCGGAGAAGTGGCTGCCCCCGCGGCGGGCTGCGGCTGTGCCCCGGGGGCAGTGGGACCCGCTGGAGGAGGACGAAGGCAGGCAGGGCCCCCGCGTGTCGGCCCCACACGGGGCACAGCGCACGGCTCACCAGGGCTCTGCGGAGTAAGAACGGAGGCCGGGGTACACGCCGGATGACAGCCGGGCTTCCCGAAACCTCCCACTGCTCAGCCCCCGGCCCTGTGGCAATGGGGAGTCGGCCCTGCTGGCAGCGGCCAAGTTCCATCATCAAAGGGGCCTGTGACGTCACCACAGGCAGCCACCGGCGGTGCCCAGGGCTGCAGAAAACAGGAGGGTGCTGGGAGAGCCCTGCCCTTGCGGCGGTGCGGGCTCCCCTACACCACCCGACCCGAGGTACGGGGCTCCTGGGGTGTCCGCGTGGGGACAGTCTCAGCGAAGTCACAGTGGGCATCCCCGGACTCCACCGCTGAGCAGAAGGGGCAGCAACGCAGGCGCCCTGCCGGGCTGAAGGGCCTGCTGGTGGAGACCCCGGCCACGTGGCCCGATCCACCCGCTTCTAGCGGTCTTGAATTTCAGAGCTGGTTAGTTTCAAACTGCCGGGCCGCAGAATCTGTGCCCCCAGAAGCCATCCCGGAGCGCAGCCAGCAACAGGGGCAGTGAAAGAGAAAGCGCGACTCGGCTGCTCTCTCACCTGACCTGAGACAGCCAGGCAGCGAGGAAGGGCCGGCCGTGGGCGTGTGGCCGAGCGGCAGTCCCGTCCTGGGCACACGGCACAGCCTGGCAGGCAGCCCGCTGCCTTCGCTCCGCAGTGCAGGAGCTTCAATGGCAGCACAGCCGGGAGGGGAGGCGGAGCAGCTGGAGCCGCCCCACCCTCCGGGGGCAGCCAGCACCCACAGGCCCCACAGGCTCTTCCCAGACTCAAGGTGCTGCCTCCTGAAGGCAGAACATTCTAGAAGCAAACCCTGAGGGTGGTGCCCACAGCTCCACAGTCATCCGTGTTCGGAGGCTGCAACAGTGCAGGGCTTTGCTGCTCAAAGTCTGCTTTTCAGGGGGCAGCAGGTGACATGGTGGTTAAAGTGCTGGATTCCCATATGGTTGACGGCGGTTCAAGTCCAGACCCGGCGACTTGAAACTCAAACCAGGCTCATGCGCGTGAGTTCCCAAGCCCCGCGCAGCCGGGCCCGGGAGCCGGGGAGCTCGGCCTGCTGAGCCCCTCTTGCCCGGACGGGTTCCAGCTCCTCCCCTCCCCGCGGCGCCGGCAGCCAGGAAGCGGGGAGTA